TGAGTAAAAAGGAAAACCACTACACGCATTATCCTTTCCTCTTCTAATTAAATTTTAATAAAAACACGCCTTTGTAAACATCATTTTCATCAAGTGCTTTGTACAGACCATCCGTGCTCTATCTATGTAACGCAGAAATTTAATGAACACTCGCTATAGGGTTTTAATGGAAACCGTGATGCTCGTTCTGATCTATAATCTTTGTTGAGATTGTCTGCTCCAAATACTGAAACTCCTTTTTTTTTACCTTACTTATTTAATACATCATTCAAAAATCTAACAATACATATTATTACGTTAACGAGTACTATATGTATATTAGGTATAACACAAATCTGATACAATTTTATACATTAATCTATCATAATTTCTCAGTATATTCGTGTTAAATAAATATTAATGTAATTAAACTAAATTATTAGATTCAATTAAAACGCTTACGACTTTCACAATTTAAAATATAGAACGATAATACTACCACTTTATAACTCTGTTTCTCCAWYACAAGCGTAAGTTTACAGGAGAAAGATAAATCAATTTAATGTTTTATTTAATATGTTATCTTGTTAAATATTATTTTTCTGATTAAATAAAAAAATAAATATTATTCAACCATTTTAACCTGTGAACATATAGCTTCTTTTATTTACATGTATACTATATATATATCAGCTAGGTGACAATTTTACTCAAGACACTGATTATTTCAAAAACTATTGAATGTTTCTGGCAATATTTTTATTTTATAATATAACGTAATCGTTAACAAACAAATTTCTTCTAAAAAATATATTTTTCATCACTATAATTTTTGCGTATTTTTGGAATTTCTTATAAATATAAAAATCTAAATTTGAACGAGTACCTTATGAGTTATAAATATTAAAAAATTTAAAAAATATATCCGAAAAATATTGATCCACTAGTCTACTTATCTAAATTTAAAATGCTCATCATTAATAAGCTATAGTAGTCCAAAATTGTATTAGTAAAAATCGAAATACTCCTAAAAATTATGAAATATGGAATTCTATTTCGAGATTCAAATTAGTAAAAAAATTTTAAAAATAATACAGATTTTTCAAGGATATTGTTTTATAACAACTAAAAATAACGTAGGTAAAAGAAATATATTCGAAAACTTTAGTATTTTTTGAAATAATGAGAGTCTTACATCAAATGAATTTGACCATCACGAACCATAATTTTGGTGTTTATTTAAAATGTAATTATCAAATAGTGTCTATATATTTAAAATCATTCATGAATATGACGTGAAAGAATTCTTGTAAGTTTGTTATACCTATATTGTCGTATATTGTACTATATACTATATGATAATAGTTWAAATAATGTTTCAATGATCWGGCAACGTTTACAACAGGTTAGATAATATTTTTTACTCATACGGCCATCAGACCGTATAGGTAACTGTATACGTGCCATAAGACATGTCTCTTATAAAATGAAATTTACCTGATGCAATATTTGAACTCATTTCACRGAAAATGACTAGGTATTTTATTGAAACAAATTACGAGAGGATAAAATTTCGAAATGTAATTTATATAATGTTKATAATGTTCAAGTTGTAACTTTAAAGTATCTATACCAATATATATGTTTATTACTGTATATTAGAGCATATTATTAACTATTTAAAAAAAAACAAAACGTTCAGTAAAAGTTAAATAAAATATTTATATAGTTTTTAATATTTTAAAAGTTTGTTATTTTTCMTTTCTTAAATTAACTGGCATGTTTTATTCTCAGATTAAAATATTTGTACAAAAACCATAATTTACCATTCTATATTATTTATAATTTAAAAATACGAAAAGCTTACTACAGCAACTAAAATCAATAAAATTCAAGTTTAAATTTAAGCGAAACAAGTTTATACATTAACACGACAATAGTCATACATATTGTTAAAAGTCAAAACTTTAGTGGAAATGGTTATTAATTTCATAAACATCTTAATTTTTTAATTTAAGTTTATAGATCRACAACAAATGGGTTACAAATTTATAATTGTAACAAAACATATGATAGGTATTAATTTATTATATTTATATATACCTATTATAAGGTATTAAAACTTAAAAATTTAGTTAAACGT